CAAAATAAAGATTTTTATCAAATAATTTGCCCTCAACTGTACAACAGTAGTTGATGAAACCAAGATTTGTGCATAGTCTGGTGTGAAGTTCATGTTCTTAATCATTTATAATAAAAAATCATACTGAGAATTTAATCGTGAATTGATCAATATTAACTGAATCTTGGGCCAGGGATTGAGCTCAGTGGTTCTGCCACCTGCCTTGCAAGCGCAAGGTCCCGAGTTTGATACCTGGTACCAAAAAAAAAAAAAAATATATATATATATATATATATATTATACTGAATCTTAGCTTAGCCCATGGAAATGGATGGTGGTAGTCCATATGCAGACACTTTCATGTAATCTACATTAAATCTGATATAATTTCTAGAAAATATGAACTTTACAGGACTTAAATATAATATGATCATATTGCCGCTAGAAGCATAAGAAACCATTTAACTCATCTTAATTCTATGAAAGAGAGTCCTGTTTACAGCCTGGTATTAGAAATAGTTTTATTTAAAATTTGCCTTTAAAAAGCAAACTATGGGGAAAAATCCTTCAATACAGTGAAGGTCTATCAGCACCATTTTTTCAACAGCATGAAGTAACTTGGTGTCTTTGTCACACTTTGATGGTTCTTGCACCATTTCAATCTTTTTCATTATTATTATGTGTGTTATTCTTATCTGTGGTCAATAGTCCTTGATGTTACTATTGCCATTAATTTTAGGACCCACAAACTGTGCCTATAAAAAATGATCACCTTAATTATTAAATGTAGGTTGTGACAGCTCCACCAAGTGGTCATTCCCCTACCTCTCCCTTTCCCCAGGGCTCCCTATTCATGAAACACAATATGGAAACGAGGCCAATCATGAATAAGTGTACAACAGCCTCTAGCATATCCTGTACTTTAAATCAGTAACCACAAATGATTAAGCTCAGTGAAGGTGTGTAAAAAGCTGAGTTAGGCTGAAAAAAAGGCCTCTTGTGCCAGTTAGCCAAACTGTGAATGCAAAGGGAACATCCTGGTTAAAAGTGCAGATCCAGTGAATACACACATGGTAAGAAAGCAAACGTTCTTACTGCTGATACAGAGAAAGTTTCAGTGGTCTCAATAGAAGATCAAAGCAGCTACAACACTCCTTTAAGCCAAATCCTAATCCACAAAAAAAACTAATTCTTTTTAATTCTATAATAGCTGAGAAAGGTGAGAAAGCTGAAGAAGAAAAGTTTGAAACTCCCAGAAATTTATTCATGAAGTTTAAGGACAGAACTCAGTTCCATATTATAAAAGTGCAAGATGAAGCAACAAGTGTCAATGTATAAGATGCAGCAAGCTATCCAGCATATCTAGATAAGAAAACAGATAAAGAAAGCCATACTAAACATCTGATGTTCAGTGTAGTCCTCTATTGGAAGAAGACGTTATCTAGGAATTTCATAGCTAGAGAGGAGAAACCAATACCTGATTTCAAAGTATCAAAGGACAAGCTGCGTCTTGTTTTAATGCAGGTGGTAAGTATAAGTTGAAGCTCATGTCATTTACCATTATGAAAATCCTCATCCTTTAAGAGTTATACATACCAAGTCTATTCTGCTTTTGTTCTGTAAATGGAACAGTAAAGACTAGATAATAGCACATCTGTTTGTAACATGGTTTACCAAGTATTTTTAGCTCACTATTGAGACATACTGCTCACAAAAAAAAAGATTTCTTACAAAATATTAGTGATCAGTGACGATACACCTAGGAACATCAAAGGAGCTATACAATGAGATTAATATTGTCCCTGACTGTGAACCCACATCCATTAAGCAGTCCATGAACCAAGGAGTAATTTCACTTTTAAGTCTTATTATTTAAGGAGCATAATTCGAAAGGCTACAGCTGCCAAAAATAGCTGCTACCACCCTGTTCAGTACATACCCATCAACATCAAGGTAAGACCTTCTGCCACCAGTAAAATGATTATGATAGTTCACTGAAGGCTCAGGTGATCATTAGCAATTTTTAGCAATAAATTAAATTTTAATTAAGATAGGTACACTGTTTTGTGGACATAATTCTATTACACATTTAATTGGCTATACTATAGTGTAAATACAACTTTTATATGCACTGATAAATCAACATATTTGTGTGATATGCTCTATTATGATATTCCCTTTATTGCAGTAGACTGGAGCCAAAGGTGGACTATCTCCAAGGTATTCCCATAACTAATTTTGAACTGTAAGTAATACTGAACCAAACAAAAAATTTAATATAACATTGAGTTAATAATATATTCTTAGAAATGTATAAAACTGTGAAACTATTTGTTTTCTGACTAAAAAGTAGAATTTACCTTTAAATAAATTTTGAAGGTTTCTGTCAATATTTCAGTAAAAATAAATAATACAAATAATCATTCAAAGTATTTTAGGACAATTTAATTCATTTAAAGTCACTGCTTTGAATTATACAGATATTTAGTGCAAATATATAGGAGACCAAACTCATTTTATTATAGTTAAATGAATGAACAATAGATTGAATTACCAACTGAGTAATTCAATTAGGCCATTAAGAAAACTGATGTAAGAATTCCTTGTATGGGCCAGTTATTTCAGTCAACCTAATACTCAAAATAGATTTATAATTCTGCAATTCAATCTGCTGCATGGTACTCAGATGTGATGAACCGTGAATAAAGTGACTGTGACAAAAACAATGGCTGCTTCAATCTGTCACATTTTCCATCACATAAGATATTTTAAACCATCTCAAATCTTACTTAGGGTTTTCTCACTGATATTTCAGAAAATCCATTACAAGTATTTACTATTGATTTACTCCACAAAAAAATGTTTAGTTCCTTGAAAGTGAAATAACTTCATCAACTCACATGATACTTTTGTGACTATGGAAAAATAGAACACTTTTGAGAGAGTTAACAACTCCAATTCCACTTCTAAAATTCCTATGTTAATAACATAATGAATTCATATTTTGTGAAGGTATCTTCCCTTAAGAGAATAGAGAGTGGACGATATGCATATATAATCTATTACTGCTTCAAACTGGTACATAGGCACAGTGGAAATTGATAAGGAAAATGTTAGCATGATTTTAAAATTAGGGAAACATAACTTAGCAACTAAAGAAAACTAGGATTGGCCATTCATTCATTCAATCTTATACTTTTTGTGGACCTATGTATTTCACCTGTAAACCTACTATGAACTTGAATATAAATACATCAAAGAAATTATGTAATCAATATCATATGAGATGGGCTTAACATGTTTCTACTGGCTTGAACCACTGGTGGTACATGCATGAGTGGCCCATCAGGCAACCTGTACCACTGGTGTTAGAAATGCTACAGTCGTGCATGGGACAGTTATGCATGTACCATCAGTGGTTCAATACACCGGGCAGTGAAACATATGAATTAGGCCCCATTGTGAATATGTTAACCAAGAATGACAACTTGTGTATCTGTGTGTGTGTGTGTGCGTGTGTATTTGCAGTGTATCTCTGCTCAGAATCCTTTTAAGGAATATATCTGAATTCACAGCACTCAAAGATTCTTATTAGACGTAATTTTTTTTTTTTAAAGTTCAGTTTACATTCAGGTAAAAAATTTTTTTTAAGTTACACCAACAATTTTTTGTTTTTAGTCAAATTAATAATATGGCTTTAAACAAATCCTGATTACAGTTCAAATGTGCTTTAGAAAATGAACAAATAAAGGTAAATGATAGTTTGATGTTTGTATCTCTGTCTTTCAAACTTTTCTACCTTTCAACAGAAGTATTATTAAAGATACGTGAATACAAATATTTAAAATGTTTGTGGATTTAATGGGTGTCTAAATAAATGCCTGTATATGTTGGAAATAAATGCTACATATGTATATGCTACCTCAAGGTAATATAACTATGTTGTCAATAGTCATTAATGTCTTTTAATTCAGTATCTCTGTGACTGATGGAGGGTAGAATATATGAAAAGGAAAGAGGTTTAAAAGATGTCTTTATATAAAGCACCGAGAAGCTTTCAATTGAATTACTAATTTGCTTTTAGGATAACCTATACACAGCTAAAGTAGTGTGGTAACTGCACAGAGTTAAGAGTGCAGAGACTGGCTCCAGTTGCTAAACTTTGATGAGCAGTCCACACCAATTACTTAGGTACTATATGTACTTTTCTATGATTCACAAGTCTAAGTAAACCATACTAGTGAGACTGAGGGAGAGAGTAGATACCAGATAAAGAGATGATAGAGCAGCAGTCATTGAAAGAGAAGAGATCTTAGAGAACATCCAGCCAACTTCTTATTATTTAGGAGAGGGAAATGAGCTCAGAGTCATAAGGATTTGCCAGGGAAGAGAAAGGAAGATAAAAGATGGTGAAAAACAACTTTCTCTGTCATAATATTTATCGCACCTTCTTGCAATTACTTTTATGTCCATATTTACTCAGCAATCCAATAGGCCAGGCTCTGTGTCAGTCTTAGTCAATTCTATATTTCTTGTAGTTAGCACAGTCCTTCACAGAAAGGAGTGTATAAATGGATGCATAGATGATTGTTTATTATTAATTTAGGGAACATTTGTACCTTCCTAATCCTCACTTTTACCTTTCGAAAATGAGGGTGATAACTTTCTCTTTTACTGTTATCAATCAGAGGAAAATGAAATAATACCCAATGGATATTATTAGCAATGGGCTTTGCACAAATAAGGGTGTGATGAGAATTAATGGATTGAGTGAACAAATAAATGAATAAATTAGGCCAAACTATGTATTCATTTTCCAAAAAACCTCAATAACAGACATAGTTTTGGCATACTTTCACCCAATAATGCCTTAGCAAGAAAAGAAGAAATGAGATAAAACAAAACTGAACACACAAATATAGAACATGTAAGAAGTACCAAAAAAAAAACCGTTTAAAAGAAAATTTGTTGTTTGATTTATTCCAAAGTCACTCTGAAGAGAACAAAAGCACTGACAATACCTGACAAAATTCTGACTTCTGCTTCATTTCCTATCCTTGAGCTGGCTGGATTCCGAGCGGAGCATCGATAGATCCCAATGTCCCCTGCTTGAAGTCGGCTGATCTGCAGTGATCCAGAGGGCAAGACCGCCACTCGGGAGTCTCCGGGTATTGGGGTAAGGTCTTGTTGATTTCTCTGCCAGTGTATTGTTGGCATAGGCTCCCCAATGACTTCACACTTGAGTAGCACTGTGTCTCCCATGAAGGCTGTCACAGACTCTGTCTGGGAAAGGAACCTTAGTGGTCCTAGGGGAAAAACAAAGAAGAAAAGCTAAGTATCTCAGATGAGGCACGCTAGTCAGCAACAAAAATAATCCCACATTGCATTCTTTATAGGGAAATATATTTTACAAGATCTTTTCTCAAACCCCATCTCATTGTTCTTCCACTTTAGCACATCACCTGTCAGGGACTATGAGTGGGGGTGGTCACTAAAAATAATAATGTTGCCATTTATACTGAAACTCACTGTTTTTTTGCTATTGGTTAATAAGACAGCTATGTAAAGTAAACAGAGAAGATGCAATCTAATTTTATACATGTGAAAATTGAGGCTCAAAGAAGTGAAATTCCACACATAAATTCATCCAGTTAGTATGTTGCAGTCCTCCAAATGTGACCTTGTTCTTCTGAATCCATGTGCTGTGCCCGTCCAGTTTCCCAACTTTGGACAAAGGTCTCAGGTCATGAGGATTTATTAAGGATGGTCATGTGGCATAACCAATAGCAGTGTCAAGAAAGATGAATGGTGTTAACTGCCAATTAAAGTAACAAAGAACAATCTTTTATGGGCTGACTGCTTAAGGCAAAGATCATTTGCATTTGTCAGAAACAGCATGCTTAAAAAGTCCTAAAGTTTAAATTAAATAGCTTGTGTTTCAAGCCTGGTTGGGCTACTTATTCTGTATGAATCTTTTTATAATCTATTTCATTTCTTGGGCTATAAAACAGGACAACAGCTAACTTGCATGACCACAAAGATGCTCATATGAAATAACATGTGAAAAATGATGCATTTATACCATATAGCTGATTAAGGAAATGAAGGGGAGAATTAAAAAAAAAACTGGCCATTACTGATCATAAGCATGATGACTAGGGAGACTCTTCCATCATGATGTTTTACAGGAAAAGGCAACAAGATATTTTGATCTTGCCCTCTTTAACCCCCTTTTATAAACAAGTTGATATCTATGATCCTAATCAGTTGACCATGAAAACCCTTAGGGATTTCTAGTGATTACAAAGAAATTTTTATGAATTATGTCATCATTGACAAATCATTGGCAGTTTTATTTTCTACTACTAATGCAACCCAATAATTTCACTTTTTATATTGTTGTTAGTAGGTTTGTTTTACAAAACAATTACATTCATCTTGGGAATTTCTGTTCTCTTCATCTCAGTTATATTCTGATATATCCAATTTCATTTTAATTTTCCTGGGGTTATTTAAATTGGATGTACATTTTTCAGTAAAATTTGATTCATTCATCACTTTGGGGTTCATATCAAGCCTTGCTAAACATATTTCATGTTATTTTAATATTTATTTTACACACTTATTCTAATTAAGTCAAAACTTCCCAGTGCCAAGTTTAAGTTTTCTCAAGAAATTTTGAGTTTTTGCATCATTCTTTAGTCAATAACATTTTATTTTATTCTGTTTTAAATACTGCTAGTTTGAACTTGGTCTACTGATTCTCAAAAACCTAATTTTCTCTATAAATGGATAAAAATTTAGCTAAGGACAGAGGGCAAAGATATAATGACCTGGGTCAAATATCATAATTTAATATTGGAGACAATAAGATATTGTCTAGTCTCTTTCCTTAGATGACAGCAGACTTTCACATTCCATTCAAAGATTAAAGTCTGAGCTAAAAGATAACTGAATCTTTGAAATATAAAATTACATCAATATCACCTATTGAATAGGTACAAGCTGCTGAAGGTTATCTTCATTATAGCTACATCTGAACAAACAGACTGGAAGTTGGGGAGATGCAATATTAATGTTAAGCAAAACTAATACTAGATAATACAGAAATCTTAATTGTGATACAAATATTAATTTATCAACTAAAATTTATCACACATATATAGATGCTAAAATTATTCATCTGATTCCTAAAGTAACCTCTGGAATGTGAATTCATAGAGCTATGTGGATCAACACTACAGATGTATCTACAGAGGGTGCCAGGCAGTTGCCTAATTTCATTCTTCTTGAGTTATCAAAAGAACAATCTATAATTGTGCTGGACCTACCACTGAGTAAAAAACAAAAGGAATCAGTCAACTTTCCCTGGGCTTTTTGTTCAAAGTCCAATATCCGGACTATGTAGTATATGGTTTTGAATCTATTCAAAAGATTAAATTGTGTCAATTTCCTGTTGATTAATTTCAGTGTAGATATAAAGAATTTACTTAAACAGAGGATGGATTGCTTATACTATACAAAGGAAAACTATAATGTGTCATGGCAGATGTTTTGAGGCTTATGTTTAGCAATAAGGTTCAAACAAATTTCTGATGTGTTTATTCAATAGTTTTCTTTTTCATCTCCATTCATAGTTTTTCATTTTGCAGTTAAATAGTAATAATTTTTCCATAGAATCAAGCTATATATTTCACAAATGTTGGTAGACTAAAATATTTTTGCTAGTTTGAGAAAACATCTGGACACTTTTATATATTAAAATATATAGTTCTTTGTAAGGCATACATATTGGATAAATCTAATTACAACATATATTTTATATTTGAATATCTCTGGCATTCTAAAAGTGTACTCGCAAGTAAGTTCAAGAACAGGGTAAAATATAAAATTAAAGAGTAATTCAAATTGATATTCAATAATTGTTTCCCTATATAAACTTCATCTGGCTGGAAATAGTCTACATAAGGCATGACATTGCATAGCAATGTAATTAGACTTAATGGAATTGGCTCCTATTCCATAGCCTTATTCAGTAAGTTCTCTGTGTTAATTTCAAATTTTAATAAACAAGGGTCAGAGTTTCATCCTATTTCATAGTGAACAATGAAATGTTTAGAAATTTCTAAAGGTTGATTATTTATCAGAGTGGTAAATTATAAAAGCAATTTGTAGCCTTTTTTTTCTGTACTGTAACTGTCTTGAAATTGCTAGTTACTGGCCCTCAACTTAGTGTTATATTTTCGAGGTATAAGTATGGGCATTCATGAATGAGCATTAAACTCACTGTAATCCCTAAGAATAAAATACAATATTTTTTCAAGCATCATTTAACACTATAATGCAATGCAAATGATTCTTGTGCTTTATACAGCTATAATTTTAACTAGATCCTCATGAAAACTAGTTCCCTGCTCAGCAAAAGCCTATTTGAACTTATCAGATCACGTGTGATCCACTCAACCATACCATTTCCCACCTCTATTCTTTCTTCATTCAGTTGTGTTCTAAACATAGTCAAAATGTCAGAGTCTCAAAATTCTAAATTTTTTAATTTCACTTGGGAAATGGTGATGTTCCTCAATTTTCTGGTATTTTCTTAATATCCAGATGCTGGGGAAAAGTTTTCTGTTTAATTATATACAAAGTAATCTAGTACAAGAAGCTCATCATCCATATTTTCATATCAGTTCTCTAATATGTTAAAATTTTTGAGGCCTAAACATGGTTTCTTTTTAATTTTATTTTTCATGATACTTCCTTTAAAAGAAAAGCCCTCTTCTGTTACATCTACCCATTAAAATTGTAGTTGCTTTTAAGGCAAAAAGCCTACCTTTCACCTAGTTTTACTGAAAATCATTTTAAAATCTTTAAAAATATTATAGTACTTATAATTTACAGATACCATACCAGAGTTGAATGTATAAATAAATGCCTGAAATATGTTTGCACATCTGTATTATGTTTTCTGTATTTTACTTCTACAGAGTATATCAAATATTTACTGACAGAAAAAAAAAATCACATATTTCCTGAGGTTCTATGTGAGTCTAAGTGTTTTGCAAACATCCACATCTTCAAAATAGGGTTCGAGTTTTGGCTCTATCACTTTCCAAACCCTGGGGCAGTTTGGATTGGTGACTAACAACACACTGGAAGTCACTCGCCTCCTCCCCTTTTCTCCATGTAGATGATTTTAGGCAAGGTTTCACTTTTAGAATTTACATTATTTTAAACACCTTTATAAATGACCTCGTTTAATCTTCACAACATTTCTTTTGCTATTTCGACAGTGCTAAGGATTGAACTCAGTGCTTTGCTTATGCTTGGAAAGTGTTCAGTAACTGAGCTAAATACATAGCCTATGACAGTTCTTTAAATAGTTTTATTATTTCCATATTACATATGGAACAGCTATCAGAGCAAAACTCTTCCAAGTAAGTACACTGTGATGTGATTGTTTTAAAAATGATTTAGTAATGAATTATTGTGCTTTTTAAACTACCTTATTTCCTCAACCTAAGTGAAAATGCCTCAGATGAGTCTCTTTTGTAAGTCATTCCTCTCTATTCCTGAATCTCCCAGAAGCAGCACAGAACTGAGGAAACTCTGTTGCTTAGTGAACACAGTCAGTTCTCAGTTCTCTACAGCCATGGGTTCCACAAATGCAAATTAAATCAACTGTGGATTAAAACTATATGTAAAAAAACCACTTGTGTCTGTACTAAAAATTGGAATACAACAACTACCTGCATTGCATTTACATTTACATTGTTGTAAGTATTGTAAGTCAACTAGAGATAATTTAGTATATCCAGGAAGATGTATCTGTACTCTAAGGAAATATTATGCTATTTGTATAAGGATTTGAACATCTGCTGGTTTTATATCTGCAGGGCTGTTTTGAACCCTATCTCTTATAGATATTGCAGAATAATGGTATATTCTGCTCTAAATAAAATTTTTATGTACAAATTTCACCCAGAACCAATGCACAATTGAAAATACTACAAAACTTATTCTTAGTGCTGTCAGAGGGCTTCCATATTTAGCCTGGGGAAGATTGTTTCCAAGAATGAACTGTAGTCAAAGTTCCTACCTTCACATCTTTCCTGGCCCAGGATACTATGACAACCTTAAACCTAGGAACACCTGGACTTGTTAGAAGCTTCCCACACCAATCAACTCACATGTTTAGACGTTATCTGTACCTCCATGTGTTAACAAAGAGTAGAACTCATTAGTGAGAAATTATAAAAAGGAAAGAACATTTTGTTTTACATATGGAAGAGTCAGACACATATGG